TCTCTGCTCGCCTTCCCCAAGATTTTAGACTCTCCAGACTTCCCTGGGAGAGCTGGTAAGATTGCCTGCTGAAGCAGGAGTCTCTCAGACGATACTTTGGTAGCAAACAGATCTCGTGGGCTGTGAAACAGATGGGTCAGGTGCTGCAGACTGTGCAAGTGATTGGAATCTGAAGAATTTCAGCTAATATTTACATCAGGTGTTTACCCTTTGATAAGAAACAGGTCATTCACAAACCTGTACATGACATAATATTGGTAGGTTGGTCACAGTGTTTGCTTTGCATTTCACACACTTCTGATTCTCGTTGCCTGGAGAACAGTTGTGTTTTGCAGTTTGATACGGATTAATAGCTGTGGTTTTTCCCCTTTATTCCCATGGAGCCGTTTGTTTAAAAAGGGCAGTTTTACAGAAATAGATCTATGAAGTTTTACACATGCCAACATGTTAGCAGGGTGTTGCCTTTGTTTCCTCTTTGGAGGAGAAATCCTGTTTGTTGTTCCAAAGTTACAATTCCTCACCCACAAACACCAATAGCCCAGTCTCAAATGAAGCTTTGAACTCTGCTGGTGTTTATTAAGGAAAATGCTCGTTCTTGCTTCTCTGAGGGAAAGATTGTGTGGGTAAACTTTAAGGGAACTGCACAAGTATGCAAACGTACTGCGTGGCTGTGTTGGGTGCCAGGGACTGTTTCTCCTGGGTTGTTGGGGATAAACCAGAGACTTGGTAAAGAAAACAGCCGTGTCTCAGGTGGGCAACGCTTCGTTTGGGCAGGCATTGTGTATAACTGCAGGTGAGTTACGGATTAATTAGCAGCCCCTAATTCAATCTAAATGAGGTCAAATAGGAACAAACTGTGAGTAGAAGAAAGCTTGCCCTTACAAGACGGGCAGCTTGTTAAGTGGCTGCAGTCTGGAGTTGCTGTTTTTTCTCTGTGCAGAGTTAATTTGCCAGAGACATGAGGCTTTGACCTACTAAGTTGGTTGCAAGGAATTCAAGGTTGTGCAATACAAACCACCTTTCCCTAGAATGAAGAGGTGGAGGTGGTGACTGGTATTTTAACAGCAGTCTGCGAGGGACTGGAGACTACTTGAACCTGCACTGAATGCTCGGGGACTGTTTGATAATGTTTGGAAGAAGAAGTTTGAGTGTAAGCGCTGGTACCCGAGCTGAGTGTAAGCGCTGGTACCCACAGCATGGGTTGTGACGTGAACTTCCTTGCCACTACTATTAGTTTTTTTTCCCTATTATTATTATTATGGTGGAAACTGGGAACAAATCTTGTTTTGAGACATAAGCCATCATTATCTTAGCGCAGAGACAGCCCAGCCTCGTGTACGCAGCGTCCTGTGTTGTCTGGGTTTTGTTCTTCCTTGGCCATCGCCCTGCTGGGAAGCATTAGGCAAGTCCTGCTCCCTTGAAGACCCTGTTTCTCTTCCACGCTTTGGTTCATCTCATCTCCACACATTTGTCAGAGCTGTAAAGCAAAGGGTGTGCACTTGATATTTGCACACTGCTTTGCAGAGAGGGCTCTGCTCTGTGTAGGGTTTCCTAGGTAGTACTGGAATAAAGGTAATAAATCAGTGCATGGAAGTCAGGCCAGCCTTTTTTTTAATTATTATTTTTACAAAAAAACCCCAAAACTTAAACCAAATAACAGAACTTTGTATCTTAATAGATTGTTGGTGGCTTTATTTCTCCTTGGGCATGGAGTGACACACTGTTAATATACTTCCTTTCGTCTTCTGGTGTTCTTGGTTCCAATATTCTTTTAACTTAACGTTTTTCTTTTGGTTCTGATATTCTTTTAACATTTTTCTTTCTGCTTTCAGAAGTTTACAATGAAAATATTGTGAGCCTGTCTGGAATGTGCACGTTGTATTACAGCCTTGCCAGAGCATTTCTAAGACCCAGAGGCAGCGTAGCTGGTCCATGAGGGTGCTCCACCACCTACCAGCTGAGAACTACAACGTCAAGGTTAGTGTCAGTTGAGTTTTAAGTGCATTGGTGTTTTTCTCTTACATGTGAAAGAGAAGGCAGTTTGCACATAGTTCTTTAAACACATTGAGATCAATAGTTCTGCTTCCAGGGTTTAGGAAACATCTTTTCCGGAAGAAATATAACAAGTTTTCCCTGAGATATGTTTCAGTATCATATTTATTAAATTTTAGCAGAAACTTCTGGAGAACTATATTACTTCAGTTCCTATTATTTCTGGTATCATCATAAAAACCCGAGACAAAAATTCTTCACTATGTTGCCAGCCTCACTGTGAATCACAAAGAGGCAGCTTGGAATAACGGCAGAAAAGAGATCTTGGGAAACACTGGTACAGGAAACCAAGGGAGCACTTTCACTGATACACAGAAAGCAAAGCACAACGGTGAGATTCTACACGTAGCTGTGAGAAGCTAGAGCCCAATTCTCACTGTAAATCAAGGTGGCTTCGTTAACTTCAGGACAACAGTGCCAGCACATCCCAGACAAAGACTCGGCTCCGTCTATTAATAGCAACAGTCTATAACAGAGCTGCTTGGAGAGGTTCCACTGGGGCAGAATTTTGATTAAAAGAATGGAGATAAGGATGACAGAGGAATCTGCCTTCTGGGTCTCTGTGGAATGTGGCTCCCACGGGGTTTGATACTGTGCCCCTCCCAACCCCTCCAGGCACCACCGAGACCAAGCAGTGCCCGCAGTGGTCCAGGTTTTCAGGTGCAGTCTGTTTGTTTAGATAACGTAACGGAGGTGATAGCAGCTATGGTACCCTCTGGTTCTGCATTTGGTGTTAGTGCAAACATGCTCTCAGCTGCTTTTCTTTCTCTGCAGCTTCAGAAAAATCCAAGGTTTTCCTTTCACCAGATATCGAAGGGTTTTATTTCTTCAAATTCTTCGGTACACCGTGGTGAAAAGGATGGGGAATGTCATTATCAGCCGTTGATGCTTCGTGTCCTGTGTGACCCTGTTATTCAGGGACAGACAATTAAATTTCACGGCTGCATTTTAGATGATCTCGAAAGAGAGAGAGAACTTCTCCAGGTGTCCTTGAGTCAGTTTCTTACTGAAATTTCAAAAAAAGCCCAGCAGAAATTCTCACTGTGCAGTGTTATGTTGTTTTAATTTCCCAGAAACTAGTTAACTTATTTACTGTGCCCCACTGGTCCAAGTTCCCTTTATAGATTAACTTGTGTATTTTGGCTCTCATCCATCTCCTCCTTTGGCTCAAAATGAATGATACCAGGACTGTCTTTGAAACAAGGCAGGACTGTGAAGTTTTTTATTAAAGAGCAACATCACCCCTGAAACCTCTCTTTCTGCCAGCATTATGAGGCCCCGTTGCAGAAGTATGGTGTTGGGAATGGCAGGTTAAGGTCTGGTGGGTTCAACCTTTCCGAAGAAATCAGGCATGTAATATTGCGGTAGGATTTGGAAACAGTTTGCATCTCCTCAGAACGTGTGTTATGGGGGCAGCTTGTCACTGAAAGTTTTCAAGACTGTTTGCTTTCCCCTAATAACTAATCAGTCCTTAGAACTGGTTTAAATGCGAGTTACTAAACAAGGTCGCTGGCTAGCACCTATCTGGCTCGCCAAGTTCAGCCTTTTATTAGGGGCTGGTGCTGCCTGTGAGTGTGTCGGAGGGATTTGAAGCTGGCAGAGGCGGGTGAGGGGGTCGCACTGTTAGTGTAACCACCTCCTGCGTGTCTCCTGTCGGCCCATTAAGTGGGCTGCTTGTGCAGATCTCATTTGTTAAACTAAACCTGTGTGCATCACGTGTAACAATCAGAGAGCAAGCGCTGCTGATAAACACAGGCTGCTTTCTGGACTCTGCAAAAATTGTGGGTTTGTTGTACCTGAACTCAGATGGTGCTTTCTTCTAGTACATTTGGTATGTTTGCAGGGGGGTTCTTGGCATCAGCCATAAACGTATTTGTCTGTCTTTTAAAATCTGTGATTTGTTACTGACAGCAGAATCTCTCATGGAGATACTCTGTCGATCTCTCAGCAAGCCCCTGTCTATAAGCCTCTGGGAAAGGTTTGCCAAGATGTGTATGTGTGAGCACGGATGGAAATGGCGTGGAAACTCACTTCAACGACAAACCCTTTTCATCGTGTTCATGAAACAGTGTAGTTTGGTTCTTTCTTCTCTGAGACACGGTGGAAGCCTTTAAGGAGGGGGGAGAAGGCTGTTAAGACTGATTATAATCGTGATTCCTTCCTACTTGATAATTAGTCTCAGTTAATCTGTGCACCGCTTATTCGATACAGCGGGGCACCGGCATGTCCAACTACCTGCCTGTGTGCTCGTACTTCTGTGTGAGATCTTCTGAAAGGAAACGCGGAGGCGCTGGTGGGGGTTGGGGGTCACTTTGTGCAACGTCATTGCAGTCACGTGGTTGCAACCCCCCGTGCTGTTTAGATCCCCCCAGATGAGAGCGAGGCACCGATCCGCAGTTGTGAGCGCTTTTGGGAGCACAAGTCTAAATCTCTTTGAAGCTTCAGCCAGTGAGGTGCACGTTGCATTTAAGCACCTCCAGGATTAGGCAGCATCTGGGATTTTCAACCCCTCAGATTTATTTCTAGGCAGATTCAGAAACCAGTTTTGATGCTGGCCCTTGATGTTTTGCAGTCATAATGAGAGGGCATCTTCTAATTGTGTGTGTAGTCTTTTAGATTTAATGAAGATCTAGAGAACTCTTGTTATTAAAGACTTAGTTGCTCTGTTTGTGATAGAGGAAATGATTATTCCAAGATCCTCATGAAGCCAGAAATTTACTTCTAGCTACCCTAAATACTACTTTCAGCTTCTCGTCTTGAGCACGTGTGCGATACTCGCTGCCTGATCTCCCCAGGTGTGATCAGAATCTTCCCACTGAGTCTTTTTCACATATTTCTCTTTCTTTTTAGGATCCTGTAGATATTATTGGAATGTGACTCCAGAGAAAAATGTGCTTTTTTAACAACTCAGTTGTTTAATCAGAATTTTTTAATGGAATTGCTACAACATGGCTTCCTCTGGGAATGAGGTAGAAAGATGGACTCACAGGCAAGGCAGCAGACTTGAAGAGCTGGTAGAACCTCTGACCTCTCCTGAAAACGGTAACCGCCTTTCACCAGTGAAGTCGCTCAGTGGCGTAGACCATCTCTTGCACCTCCCTGGAAGAGCAGACTCTGCTTACAGCTCTTTCTCAGGAGGATCAAATGTTCCCGAGTATCCCATCCCATCATGCTATGGTGAAAACTGCTGTTTGCCCCCAGAGCAGGGACCCTACATGGACTCAGAGTATGTGAGAGGTATTTATAATCTCAGTGCGGCGAACTCTGACCTCGGGTGCCTGCATCCATCCAGGGCACCAGACCTGAGCATCCATGATAGCTCTCCCAGCACCAGCCTCGCTGAACGCTGTGGAAGCACTCCTACCCGAGGGACTTCAAATCAGGGACCGCTGCCTCCGGCGGCACCTCCGCCTTCTCCTTCCACGCGACTCGATAGCTATAAAGTCATGAGACACCTTGAAAACTCAAGAGGGAGGCGCAACTCGGCAAGTCACAGCGAGTGCAGTGTGCAGCTGGCTCCTGGCGTGCGGGGCGATCCGCTAGCAGGTAGGGATGTACCATGGAGTCAACACAGGGGTGAAGTTACAGAGCAGGATATAGCGGCTGCTCGGGGAAAGACTCTGGAAAACAAGGGCCTTTCTTCTGATTCTAAGGATGAGGTATCCATATTAAAAATTCAGGGGTTAAAGATGGAGGAAAACGGAGAGTGGAGCCCATCCCAACAACTTATAAAGAGAGGCAATCCACACATTTTCAGCAGACCTTCTTCATTCATTTTTCAAGAATATTTAAAGACTGACTCTGTGGCTAATGTCCCGAAAATACTTTCGGTTTATAATTCAGTTCATGCTTATAAAACTCCTGAAGAGATGAACTCCAAGTCCTGTCTCCCAGCACAGACCACCCCCAGCACCGTTCATGAAGACAAACAGTACCCCTGCGGTGGACGCAAGCCAACGTTCAGAGAAGCGGCTCTGCAAAGCGCGATGCCAGAACCCGGCCAACGAAAAGGCTCCTTGCCCCGCGCTCAGTGCCCGCTCCGGGCCGAGCTGCACTCAGACATGGATCAAGATGTGTTTGAGGACAGTTGTGACTCAAAATATATGGAAAATGCTTTTCCACTTAAAAATGCTTCCAGGAAGCTGAACAGTTGTACAGACAAAAATCAGTGCTACGACTCTGAAGGAAAAATTGGGGGTGATGTTAGGGAACCAGTTCTGAATCAGCAAGCCAAAATGCAGAAATCATTGCCGTCCCGCAGCTACGATGCTGTAGAAGCAGAGTACCCTCGCTGTGAGGAGCTGGATCGGGGAAATAAGCAATGCTGTGATAATCCTAGCCAAATGGCTTTTTTCAGACCAAAGGAAGGTTCCCCATCTCAGTTTTTGCAGGAAGTCAAGAAAGAAAAACAAGCGAATACCAGCAGTCCTGACCTTCGTGCAAATCTAGAACAAGAGGAACCTCCTGTTCCTTGTCAGAAACATCAACCTGAATTTCAAAACCAGCTCTTAAGACAGCTTCAGGATGATCTTGCTGGTGAACAAATAACCAGGCAGACAACTCCCATGCTTTATTATCTTTCTGGGGGGAAAACCACCAACATCCTGCACCACAACAGGCTCACCCAATGTCAGGAGGACTCGAGGAGCTCACTGAAGGAATTTCCACCAAGCAGCTACTCTGCCTCAGCGCGGCATCTAGAGATGCAAAAGGAAAGCAATCTGCTTCAAAGGACCAACCACCACCATCAATGTAGTGCTGGTGATCTGCTTGAGGCTGAAGATCTCATCCTTGGGAGTTCTGCTTCATCCACAGATGAGAGTTTCAAGAATGACTACAGAGAGAGACTTAAAGTGGCTCAGAAAAAGGTTCTGAGAGAAACCTCCTTTAAAAGAAAAGACTTACAGATGAGTTTGCCCGTTAGACTGAGACAGAAGCCCTCTAAAAGGCCGACAATTGAACACCTTCGATCTTTCTCATTATCCAGTGCAAGTGAGGATGCCAAACCTGTTCCTTGTTCCCCTTCTCATCTAGAATCCTTGGAAAGTTTCAGCAGAGATGAAGAAATTAAAAAGCCACAAACAGGTCGAATAGGGGGAAGGAAAAGGGTAACAAAGGAGCAAAAGAAACTCTGTTACTCTGAGCCTGAGAAACTCGATCAGCTGGCAGATAAGGAAGGAGCATGGAGTCAAGTCAGGGATGAAATCCCTGAGGAAGATACAGTGGCAGCTAGAAGAAAGACTCTGGAAAACAGAGGGAGGGCACTTTCCAGTTCAAGTATCACCCGGATGGAGCTGAAACAAATCCAGCATACTGCACTGGTCGAGTACATGGAACGAAAGATTAATCAAAGACCAGGTAGTTCCCAACACCTCCCGCTGCATAAGCCACCCCTGCAGAAGAGGCTGTCGCATCCCAAATGGCCTCCTGGCAAGATTTCCAGTTTAAATGGGAGCAGGAAAATGCAAAACGATGAGGTTTTCTGCCAGGTTTCCTCTAAAGAAAAATCACCAGATGTTTTTCCTCCTTTGGCTTTTGTTCCCCCACTGAGCATGACCAGTGGGTATGAGCCCAGCTCTGCTGCTGCTGGTGCAGTGACCTCGAAGCACGGCCTGGCTCCCAGCAAAGGAGACGGGAGCTGCACCGGCAAGTGTGCGTCGGCTGAAAGCCTCCTGCAGGCCGGTGATCCGGCGCCTGGGAGAGCTCGCGAGAGGTCGAAATCCACGCCTCCTTCCACACAGGTAAGAGAGGTATGAAGGCAGTAATTCTTGTTTGAGTCCAACTTAATGACTGTCTACCTGCTGTAGAGAACCGGGGGACTGTTCACCTGAAAAACTGCTGAACTTCATGAATGAGGAATTAAGGCTTGATTTATTGGGGTTTTTTAGCGTGCAGCAGAGAGATGGTAGATGCAGAGGAGAAGCCACATTTGCTTAATGTGTAGGAAATGCTGCATACCTGTTTGAAAGCAAAACGCACGCTCTGCTTTGCAGCATGTCGGAGAAATAATTTGGGGGGATTCCGAGAGAAGCGCTACCAACTTTAACATGTTGCGGATTTATGATTGAGGTAACAGTTCATTGCTCTTGCAAGTATTGTATAAGAAAGTGTTGAGGACAAACAAGGTGTTCCTTAATGTGAAAAGTTGCCAGAGAATTGCGTAAGGATGGAAACCTGATCAGAGCTGACTCTAAGCATACCAAGAGCCCCTCGTTAGCCTTCAGTGAGCGCAGAGGTAAAGGCAGGGAGGATGGGAAGTGTCTGCTTCAAGGGACGTGTAGGCTGTGCTCTAGGGCTGGGCAATGCCAGGCTCACAAGGGTCCCTTCCAGAGCTGCAGAGGGGTGTGCGTGGGGTCTGGCGCTCAGAAATCACATTTGCAGAGGACACGTGCTGTGTGCAGGATGAGGCTGTTTGGGTTTCAGCAGTCACTGTTGTTCACTACAGCAGCTGCATTAGATCCCTGTCCCAGGAAAGGTTGTTGTAGGGAGATTTTGATAAATGACCAACTTTTCTGGGTCCTGAATCTGAAGGACAGTAGCTGTCAATACTGTTGTCAAGGAGAATAAAGAAGATAAAAGGGTCAGAAAACAAATAATCTAATATACTACTAAAATTACCCAACTGTGAAGAGGCTGACAAGCTTCTACCAATGCTGCCTGCTTTCTGAATTGTTATGAGAGTAGAGGATATATGTTGTTGCCAGTTCTTGTTTGTTTTTCTAGGAGAAAAATATAGATGCTACCTAGGAAGAGCATAATAGCAATTTCATTCATAAAAAAAAGAGAGACAAACTAAAAAAAAAACCCTCAACCAACCAACAACAACAACAAAAAAAAAAACAACCAAAAAATACCCCGCAAACGAACAAACAAACAAACAAAATGCAAAAAAGCAGTCTTTGGTGGAATTACTCTGACATCTGCTGTTGACTTGCGTTGCTGGGGGTAACAAACAGGGAGTAAAATTAAACAGCTGCCTACTTTGAAAATGCTGGTTGTCCCAGTGTGCTGTTTTCATTTCCAGGACACTTACAGACATGCTGGTGGGGCAGCGGCACCGTCTCGGCGTTGCGAGAGCTGTCTTGGCACCCCCAGGTAAGGCCTGTGCCTAGGTAGAGCCTGTCTCCAAGGTGTGTGAACGCCAGTGGCAGCGGGGTTGTCTGCTCCTGTCCTCGTGTCTTGAGATCCTCCCTTGTCCAAATAGGAATAGTCATCCGCTAAGCTGTTTTTTTTGGTTTGGGATGGTCTTTAAAATCATTTTTAGTGCGTGGAGCAAAAAGTGGAAGATGCAGAGTGTACCTGAGGCGCCCTCCCTGCGGCAGCCGCTCTCCTTCACATCTCCGAGGTCACAGCTCCCTCATCTGCGCTCCACGAAAACGGCATCCGCAGCAGCTCGGATATGCCCAGTCTTGGAAAATATGGGTGATCACAGAGCGTGTAATAGGGACTTCTGGTGTGGTTTATTTAAAGTATTATGCCATTTCCACACAGCTAACTAGAAAGTTTGTATGTTGGCTCTATGTATTTGTTTTGCTTGTTTGAGGAGCACCAGAAAAACATCCGAACTCTCTCTCAACAAGGCTGTGATGCTGGCACTTGTGTGATCACAGAATTTCCACTGTTTCAGTCATTCAGAAAGATCCAAAGGGTTTCTGGAGGCTTGATTATCTTCAGGAAAAAAAATTGTATTTTTAGTAAAGTTTTGAAGTGATTCTTAAATTTCCTGGTTTAGCTAAGAGGCTTAGCAGGTCAGCATGAATATAACTGGAAGTCTTGGACAGAACAGTAACATTAGAAACCTGTTTGATTGTAGCTCTATAATATGTACTAAGCAATGAAAAGATGAGAAATCCAGAGCTGCTTTTGTTAGTAATTAATTTAGATTATCATCTTTGGGAACAGCTGTACGTACAGGTTTCATTCTGTTACAGCTGTATCTCATTTTTTCTCTTTCTTGTCCTCCACCAGAAAGTGCTGCTGAGCTGTGGTAGAAAACCCAGACTAGACGGGGCATGTCTGCCGTACTAATTGCTCAGATAAAAGTTCCAACTGGGACCAGCAGGCAGAGCAAACTATGATCATTACCCGCACCCGTAGTGTCTGTGGGTTGGTGGAAAAAAGCTTGAGGACGTTCTTACACATATTTTGCATCCATTCACTTGCACAATGTAATTTTGAGGCAGTTTTCACTGGTATCATCCGTTTTCCCTGGTAACTGCTGCAGATGGTTTGTTTAGCCTGCAGGCTGGTCCTACCCACCGCCATCGCAGTGAGGCCTGAGAATGAGTAAGAATAGGTGTCTCTGTACCTCTTTTCTCATCGTCTGTCACTCCATAAACATTTGTCAATCCATGAAAGTGGTATTGCGTCATCATCTCGTTAATTTAGGTATCACCGTGGTGCTTTGCAGGGGGTATTTTTAGCACCTTTTCGATGGAAAGGCTTTTCCAGTAGTAAGGGCCTCACTAAATCACCAGAACCAGGTGGGTCAAGTCAAGGTCAAATGAGGTTTTTATTCTTTAATTGCAGTGAAAAGTCACACGTAATATATCAGGTCTCTCTAAGTGACACTGATAGTCGTTACCTAGTACCAACTATGATTGAATTCTCCTTTGCCAAGCTGACTTACTTTTTTTGGGCAAAAAGCTAAAATGACTGTGTTAAAGCTGCAAAATAGAGCTGGAAGAAGGGAAGCTATGGGAGAAGATGGGATTTCAAGCAAGACTTTTGTGGCTGAGTCACAGCACAGCTCGATTTGGCCACATGAAAAGCTTCGTGTCTCCCCAGCGCCTGCTCGAGCCGGATAAACACAGCCCGGCTGCAAACCATCCCCCGAGCCCCACGTCTGCGTCAGGAAACCTGCCCAGACAAGCAGCGGCTGGCGATAGCATGGGGCTCGTGGGACTGGGTACAACAGCCCAGGCATTTGAAAGCTTTCCTAGCACAACAAGGTCTGCTGGGATGTTCTTCACTCGAGAAACTACTCTGTGTGCGTCCCTTCGTGGGGGGTAGGGCGGTCTCCGCTCTTAGGTGGTGTGTCTCTTCATCGCTCTCCGCTGCCCCGTCTCCTTCAGCAAAAGAAGCTGCCTACCTTCATGTCTCCGCACGTGGCTTGGGAAGGACTCGCACCATCCATAGAGACAGGGTTTATTAGTACATTTAGGGGAGGGAAGGACCAGTGCTCCCCCAGCCAGGTTGTTTTCATATGTGACCTGAGAGAAAGAGCGAAACAAAGGTGGACAAAAACCTGCAGTGAACTCTTTATGCCTGTCCTGAGGGGGAGAATTTTTGCTTAATGCCTACAACTTGGGAGCTGATATGCCAGGTTAGCATAGTTAAATGGGGGCTTATAAATCTTCCTTCCATCTAATACCTCTAGATTTCCTCCCTACTGTCCCCTCATAATCCCATTAGGTTATGAAAAATTTTGCTAGAGGAAAAAATAGATTTGTTCCTTCAGACACGATTAATAGAGTAGTATTTATGTGTAGAGATGTACTGACGGTTTTCACAAGCAGTTACATGAACATCAGGGACTGCAGAAGACGGCCTACGCGTACTTGAACCATCTTGTGTTCAACAGTGCTCCTATGTTCTTGCAAGTTCTGGTCCAAAGTGTATTTTAAAATTACGTGTCTCTACTTATTCTGTCATTGCAAATATAATTATTTATGCCCTGCAGACAGTAGCTTTTTCCATTGAGGTTTCTTCTGAAGTGATGCATCAGAAAACTCAAAGCACTGACTCAGACATGCATTGGCCAACTCAAAAGTAGAAGTTTGATCTCAAAATGGTTAACTGAAAGGATCGACTAAAACTTTTACTTAAGTCTAACGGCCATTTCAAACCAAAAGCCTCAGATGGTCGGTGTTTCCTCTGTGTTGGTCTTCAGTTTGCCCAATCAGAAGGAAGCACTAGCTGTCTTCTCTAGGAAGGGCTGAGAAGCGGGGAAGGGAGTGATGCCCAAGAGCCAGTGATGGTGTAAACCGGTTCTCACTCCTGGGCTGAAAGATTCTCACTACGGACACAAGAAGGGGCAAGGACCGTGACAGGAAAGGTTTGCCCTCTTGCAGCACAGTCACTGCCTCACAAGAGAGCTGGTGGAGGGAAATGCAAAATGTGAATTGTCCTGTTGCTGCCAGGTGGTTCCAGGTGTGGCCCGAGAAAGGTGTCGGCCAACCCCTGTCCCCACGAGTGTCTCACTCATCCTGCTGCCACCGTGCTCGCCAAGGCTGGTGGGATGGCTGTGTGCCTCTCACCCGTTTGTCAAATGGCATCGTGTGACATTTTGGGGCACTTTTTACTACGGGTTTATTTCAGAAAATGTGTTATGTTTTTCATAATGAGAAAATGAGAAATTTAATGGGGATTCAAACCATGCGGACTGGTGCAGCCAGACATTTTACATACTCCCTTTTTTTTTTTCCCCAAGCAAAATTAATAGGGATTATGGAATCTGAATTTTTAAAACTGTAATAAAAAGTAGAAGCTGGAAAGATAATGACAGTTACCTGTGGCTGCTTAAACAGTCTGCAAAAATATCTGTTGTAGAGGAAGCGTCTCAAATAAAAGGGAAGTGTCTTCTTTCTTACAGTTTCCATGATCCTGAGAAAGACGGATGCGAGAATCATGACTATAAAGACAATGACGTAACTGGATGTGCCTGTTGTCAGGATTGTAAGGAGCTGACGGCTGAAACCTCTATTCCAGTCCCAAGGAGTGGAAGGAAGGAAGATGCTCAGGTGGAGGAGGAATGCAGAGTGGAATCTCCAAATGGCCATGCTCTAATGAAGTGTCCAGAGCAGCAGCCTGCCACTCCTCGGGAGCAAGTGACGTCCTGCCACGCAGCGTTAGCTCAGCCTCACCACGGAGACGAAAATACAGCCAAAGGTTTAGTTGCAAAGGAAACATCCGTGCACAACAGCCAAGATGATATTCTCCCTGAGAGAGAGACAAACCTGACCAAAAGGAGACTGCAGTCTCCTGAAGACCAGCGATATGAAGAACTTGCTCTGGAGATCGTTGCCAAAGACAATTCTCTGGTGGATATTCTCATGCCCCATCCTAGTAGAAAAACTGCTTTAGACCTCATGGAGGATCTGTTTCCTGTTAACGTTTCCATGCTGGGTAAATCACACAGAAAAAAGGGAGACATACAGCGTGTGCAGGAGCATGAGTAAGTAGACAAACCCAACTATCCACTATTTTAAGAATATCATGTATATACTGGTAGTGAGATGACTTGATCATATTGGTTTTGTTTCATTCGCAAAATATTGCAGCTTTCTGGTTTACACATCAAGAAATATCTGAGGCTATGGGTATATGACGGAAGAAATGCGGCTCAGTGATACTTATTAAAAGAGACTGTGACAAACCTAGGCTGCAAACCTTTTGCTCTATATCTTTAAAAAAATTAGAATAATTGCTGCTGCGAGAAGAGAGGAGAGTGATTCTGAAATCAAGATGGACAAAACCATGAACATAATGTTTGAGACCAAAAGTCTTTAGTGTTTGCCACAGGTATTTATTTTCTGTTCCAATAGCAGGAAAAGTAGTAGAGATGCAACAGAAGAATGTCCTGAATCTGAACAGGATGCCAAGCAAAGGAGTGAAGATCCTACCTCTAAGGGAAACCAAGTCCTGAATAGGAGCGGAGACAGCACAAACGACCTGGACGACATCACGTCTAAGAAAGTATGTAGATGACCATCTGTTTCTTCACCACGACAAAGAAGTCGTTATTAATGTCATGTATATTACTGCGGATATTTTTATTCATGACTTTTACCCCAATAATAACGTTTCACAGATAATTTTGAATCCCTTTTTGCCAGTAGGTGAAGTCCTGGCAAATTGGCATATTGATTGGAAGTGGTGGTATTTAAATCCCGCCTGGTTTGATTCAGATCTCTTCTCCCACATACTTCACTTCAGCAGGTCATCAGGGGTGGGTTGTATCTGGAAGAAGCGTGCAGGGCTGGTTATAGGGCTCCTTGCAAGGCCAGCTCCTGTGCAGCAGCTGACTCACAATTTAACACTCAAGTCTGGTCTCAAAATCTATACAATCCGTTACCACTGGCAGCCTAAAGAACTCTGAGAGAACTGGCAGCAGTTTCTGCCCACTGCAGCACCCTATTAATTTCCGTACGTATAGGGAATTAGAGGTAGCTGGGACATAGCTGGACTAAGGTAGAAATGCAGCAGCTTGGAAGGGCAATGCGTAGCTTTGAAGAATTTGCGTGTTTTTTTCCCCTGTAGACACCTGGCCATGCTCCACTTCAGGTAATGACAGTCTGCCTTCCTGAAACCCCTTCTGCTGTGCACCTGGTGATATTTTTCATTACCCACTGTCTAACTGCTGCTCCTGTTCATGGTGGTGTTGGCTGGATCCCAAAAAAAGCTGATAAGGTTCTGCTCCCGCTCCGGTCTCGGGGCCTTTTTCCCTATCAACATGTCCCTATCAAACATCCTCCTCCGGTTGCTTTGCTACCCAGGCGCGGTGGCTTGCTTAAATCACCCATGGAACTGACTTTTCCTGTGCATATTGTAAATGAAATTCCAGTCAGCTCTTGCAGAGGTTGGTAACAGGGCTGTGATGCCATGCTCGTGTCTTAGAGCATAACCCCGTGTAACCATGTTGTAATCTTTCCTGTAGTTCCCTTCTGACTGATTGGAAGCTCTCTGAGCTAGGGATTATATCACCAGTTAAGGTGATTACCAGTAATTTGCTTTTCAGAGTTTGAGAATTAAGTAAGGCTTAGAAGATATTTCTCCCCCCG